TTTTCGGCCCCAGGATCCGGGACCCGCGACCCGGGACCGGCGCGGGACCCGGGACCCGGGACCGGCGGGGCCTGGTACCCGGGACCGGCGCGGGACCCGGGACCCGGGACCGGTGCGTGCGGGACCCGGGACCCGCGACCCGGGACCAGCGCGGCATCCGGACCCGGGACCTGCGCGTGACCTGGGACACGGGGCCCGGAACCCGTGACCGGCGCGGGACCCGGGACCCAGGAGCGTCGCGAGACCCGACACCCGGGACCGGCGCAGGACCTTCAGCGACCCCGCACCGGCGCAGGATCCGGGACCCGGGACGAGCGCGGGACCCGGGACCCGGGACATGGGGACCGGCGCGGCACCTGGGACCCGAGACCGGCGCGGGATCCGGAACCTGCGACCTGGGAACAGCGCGGGACCCGGGACCCAGGACCGGCGCGGGACCTGGGACCCGGAACCCAGGACCGGCGCGGGACCCGACACCCGGGACCGGCGCGGGACCCGAGACCGGGACTCCGGACCCGGGACCCGGGACCCGGGACCGGCGCGGAACAACCCCGAACCCCGTATCCAGCACGAGCGCCGGACCCGGGACCCGCGACCCGGGACCGGCGCGGGACCCGAGACCCGGGACCGGCGCGGGACCCGGAGCCCGGCACCCGGGACCATCCTGGGACCCGACCGGCGCGAGACCGGGGACCCGCGACACGGGACCGGAGCGGAACCCGGGACGCGGCCGGGACCGCCGTGAGACCCAGGACCTGGCCGGGCGCAGGACCCGGGACCCGGAACCGGCGCCGGTTCCGGGTCTCGGGTTCCGGGGCTCGCGCGCGCGAGCCCCGGAACCCGGGACCATCGCAGGACCCAGCTTCCTATACTTTGCGTTTTGCTTGTGTTGTAATTGCGTTGCATTTGCGTTGTAACGTTGTTTTAACCAGGCCGTAACGATGTTATAACATAGTTGTGCCAACACCAAACTGTTATAAGTCGCGCGCGTTTTACAAATACTTACATTTGTAACAAGTGTGTTGCAATGTGTTTGCGCAACTCATGTTAATTTATTGCAACGAAAAACATGAGAACATACAAACCACTTGCAACACTGATAAAACAAATAACTTGAATTATGAAAAAACGAAACATTAGAATAGAAAGTAGTTACGTTCGGGCCATAAGACGCTTCTCGCGCCGTCTTACTCGAACATTCGGGTCGGTGGAAACCATCGGGCTAACGACACGTAGCGTCACCACAACAAATATGGCCAACCCATCTTCCTCCCCTCCTACCCTGTGAGGTTTCGGTCCCGTTGTGCCTCGTCAGTCGGCCCCCGTCGGCCTTCTCTGGCCCTCGGCGAGCGCTCGAATTTCGCGGCCCCTCGGTCGGCCCCTCGGTCGTCGGTGGCCCCCTATTTCTCTTTGCGGACTGCGGCCCCTGGGCACATCAAACCCTCGCCCCTCCCATAGCTGTTTCGGCGCCAAGGCTTGCGCGCTGTCTTGGTGGGATTCCCACGGGCTGCAGAAGGCACCATTCCGTTCTGCTACGAGTGCAAGATGGACAAGGACACCCCCCGAAAGGGGCATGGGGGGGCGGGGGGGAGACAGGGGGGAGAGGGGGGGGGAGAACGGTGGGAGGGATAGGGAAGACGAAGGGAGAAGCGCGCGGGGGTCCTGACCTCCGCCAAGGGGGAGGGGGGGGGGGGGGGGGGGGGGGACCCGACCCGAGGGTGAAGAGGAGGGAAGGGGGGGGGGGAGGGAGGGGGGGAGGAGGAAGTGGAGGAGGGCGATAACGAGGAGGAGGAGGATCGAGGGCGGAGGAGGAGGAAGAGGAGGAGGAAGACGAGGATGATGAGGAGCAGGATGAGGAGCAGGAGGAGGGAAGGGGAGGGAGGAGAAGGAGGGATGACAATGAGGATGAGAAGGATGAGGAGGAGGAGGAGGAGGGTGAGGATGAGGAAGGGGATGAGAAGGATGAGGGTGACGATGATGAGACTGATGATAAGGATGAGACTGATGATGATGATGCTGATGATGGTAATGGCGGTAATGATGGCGATACTGGTGTGATGGCGATGCTGATGGCGCTGATGATGTCGATGATTGTTGATGACGAGGAGGATGTGGACGAAGAGTGCGTGTGTGTGTGTGTGTGTGTGTGTGTGTGGGTGTGGGTGTGGGTGTGGGTGTGGGTGTGGGTGTGGGTGTGGGTGTGGGTGTGGGTGTGGGTGTGGGTGTGGGTGTGTGGGTGGGTGTGGTGTGTGGGTGGTGGGTGGTGGGTGGTGGGTGGTGGGCGGGTGGGTGGTGGTGGTGGTGGTGGGGGGGGGGGGGGGGGGGGGGGGGGGGGGGGGGGGGGGGGGCGGGGGGCGAGGGGGGGGGGGAGGTCAGAGTGATCACGTGGGAGTTGCCATTCCCCCCCCCCCCCCCCCCCCCCCCCCCCCCGCACACGCACGCGCGCGCGCGCCAAAAAACATAGCAGGCACCCAGGTGACTGCTCCTCCTCCTTTCGTGCAGGGGTGCCTCGGGAAACGGCGGGATGGCGTCTAGCACTTGTCCCCCCATATTCCGCCTCCCTCCTTAGGTGCCTTCTTTCTGTTGCTACTGCTGCTACTCCC